TATAAATAAAGTTTTACTTACTTACTATAATCAAACATGGGATTTTAAAACACTGACTCTCTACTTTAAGATCCTATTATACAGAAACATATTGTTTCTGTAAGGAACCCGCTGCCATTGGGCTTCAATCAGCTCAAACTGCAGGAACAAATTTCCTCTGCCCTGAAAACAACTCATCAGCATTGCTGGCAGTGATCATGAAGACCAGCGCGTCCCATTACACTTTAACTCTGCTGCCTTTCAGTCTTCATTATGCTTTTACAGCACACGGAAAATATACTAAAGTCCAAAGAAGCACCTCCACGAAGAAGCAGGATAATAAGTGTAAAGCTGAATATATATCATAATAGTTTAGTGTACTTAAGGAGACATGATATTATTCATTTGACTTGGGAAAGAAGATTTATGAAACTGCATTAAAAATTATATTATCTAATGTAAAAAGGAAAGCGACACTGCTAAAAGTATTACATCAGGTGCAGATGGCTGGATGGATGAACTGATTGGGTCTGTGTGTAGAACAGATGCAGAGAGTAAAGGGTGAGGATTCTACTTAAAGACGACCTGCTGTGCTCATTTTCACCTCCATGTTTTTATTCAATAACTTTTAATGAGGTTTTCCATGATTCACTGTACAGAATAAGCCTCCCCCATCTTTCTCTGTGGAATGGTACAGCCCCTTATTACAGATGTTTCCTGAAACAGTCCTATTAGCTGTTCCTTTAAGCCAGCTTTCTACTGATTGGCTGCCTGTTATAAACAAGCAGGTGGGCGGGGCTTCTGCGTTCACAAACTGCTGTCCTAACAGGTAAAGCAGTGCTGCACATTTTGGTATTTATTAGTTAATAGGTCAGTACAGGCGCAGTGTTGCAGATACCAACATATACACACTGATGTATGCGAGGACTTAACACAACGAAACACTTTCAGCTTTTTGTTTTTGGAGACGTGGACTGTGCTTCCCTGTAAACAGCACGTTGGATCAACCTCAGGTCTTTAAATGTGCTGTAGGTTTTAAATAAAGTAGACAGTGAACACAAATACGCTCTGACATTTTTCATACAGCAGGTTTAACGTATATTTTTTAATTTCCAAGAAGATAATTTCACACAATTCAAGAGGTCACATAATGATCTTAGAGACCAGAAACAAAGTATCAGTCCTATCATGCTGCTATCAATCTGATACCAGCATGATTGATATTTGGATCAATCCACTGACCTGAGCTTTCACTGACGTCACCTGGAGCCACGAGCAGAAACATGTTAACAACAGGAGAGCTTAGAGCCGACAGCTTCCTGCGTTTCTCCTGGATACACGAGACCAAATCTGATAAACACGAGTCCAGTTTCATGTCAATGTTGTGCTTTTGTTCTCAGACTGATAAGAGCACTTTGATGTGTCCGAGCCTTTGTGTGCGCTTGGTTCTTACTGCAGTATCAGCTGTACACACACACAGACACACAGACACACAGTTACACACACACACACAAACAGACACACACACACACACAGACACACACTGCTTAGTGATGTTTTAATCAAAAGCAGAAAACAGCAGATATATAAATGTTATAAATGTTATATAAAGAATTGTTAGCAGCGCTTCCTGATGAGCCTGTCAATAATACAGACTAATGTGATGTAAAAACTGACACTCATGCATCAAGACTGAATGAACTGTTTCAGTTTTGCTGCCATCAAGCACTCGTATATTATCTAATTAGGAGTCTGAAGAGTTCTTGTTATTATGTTTCCCATCAGCATTATTTCCCTTAAAGCCCCACACATCACACACTTCCCACTGCC